TCAAGAAAGAACATATTTAGTATATTATTGATTCGCGTATATTTCATCAGCCTATTATGAAATGAGATAGAAAGGAAACCTGCGATTTCCAATCCCTGCGCGTATGAAATGTAATTCTGGAAGAAGTCATAATGAACACTAGCTTTACGAAGAGAGCTATTCGGTGAAAAACAATTTCCACTAATTTAACCAGAAATCTCAGTAATGAAGCAAATATTGGTGCACAGGACTAATCAGCAGTAGTATAGATCAGTACCGATTGTTGGGCAACTATTATTTCCAAAGTCATTGTGCATTAGAAGCCAATTGCAAGGTAACTCAAAATTATAAGCTACCATGGTGAATAAATCCATTGTATCGGCAACTCCTAGATGTTATAGTGCAATATTTGTGTGCAGCTTATGATGGTTGGAGTACAATACCAATGAACAGTAACGCAAAGTGCCCAGCCTAGGACACTCAATACACGGAAGGAGTGTTTGGACCTGTGCGATTGAGTCCGTGTAATAAGCCAGCTTACTTTTTGACTTGATTAAGCATGTCACATTTTTCCTCTATCGATCGACGATGCATAAGCGCATAATATTCCTTTTCCTTATGAAGCCTCTTGTAATTTTCTTCTTGCTTTCTAAAGTGTAAAGACGTTTAGGTATGTACGTATGAGTAACCAGCTTACTTGACGGTGTCGTTTAGCAAACAAATTTCCTGCTTCGACATAGAGAGACTTTTCTTTGTTTCACTAAGTTCAACGTAAACGCTGGGGACTTGCCCAGCCTCCGTTAACTCAGTAGAACCTTTGTGCATTTGTCGAAAACTTTAGGAGTAAGAAAAATTGAGGAAATTAAATATTTACCGTTCTACCTGAAAAGCATTTAATGTGTCAATGAAATTATTTTCCAAAAGATAATTCCTAATATACTCGTCGGCAGTCGGCAATAGAAAATCTGTTTGTGCTGTATTTTGCATTCGTCTAAATCCATCTTGTGCCTAATATTCATATCAGCTTTACGGACATATATACCTTTTCTACGCCTTCAATCCTGCTTTGTTCGTTAGTGATATCCTCCACAGTTTCATCTGTAGGAATAGTACCGAGTTCAGCTGGCTGGACACTCTCACACGAGAATGAAGACTCTTCGTCCACTGGTATATCCACTACTGTATAAGAATCTTAGTGAAAGAACTAAGGTTCACACTCTGAAAATAGTATTTCCAGTCATCCATTATCGAGATAATCGGGGACAAGTTGATGAATGAACAGGAACTTGGCTTGGAGATTACAATATATTAGGCGCCCCTATATTGCCATAACGACAGGCAGCCTAACTGACCTTGAACTAGGTTAGGTCAGTTCAAATTCCAAGGACTACAGAGAAGCCCGCCTAACGAACGCTCTGTTCTTTATACCGGTGAACGGGGCAGTTTGATTGCACTATGAGAAAATTGTGTTGCCTTAGGACGTTCCGTGGTACAAATGGTACATAGCAACGAAGTTACCTAGCGACGTTGCTAAGGCCAGTGCGTCCTGTGAGTACTACACGGTAACTCGATTTTTTGGCGCGCCATACTGATCGAGCCTTTCAGCTGAAATAACGTGGAAAACAGTGTTTGAATAAACACTTGAAACGAAATTTGGCTATTGTCAAATTTTCTCTGATCCAAGGTATCTCGGATCGATTAAAGTGGTACTGGCCAAAGCGTCTTTGGCGCTTACTGGTACTTTTTCCCGTTGTTCCCAGTTTTAATCCCGTTTTGCACTCTGCTTTTGCCTTTTTATTACGGTCGTTTTCCTGTTGTATACGTGTTGTAATTCGACTCTGTTTTCCACATGAACCTGGCTGTCTCGCTAAACACCGAGACGGATGGACCTATGGGGTCCGCGTTTGATGAGTCTACTGCAGCTTGCGGACAGGTTAACTGTTCAGAGCCAGTAACAGATGTATCTGGCGGTATGCCGTGTGACGTCTGCTGCCGCTGGTATCATGAAAGCTGTACCGGCCTACAAGCTGACCAGTACAAATTGCTATCATCAAGCGTTCACTTTCTTTTCAGCTCTGCTGAATGTTGCGCTCAAAGATTGATGCGCCCGGCTGTCACCGGTGCTAAACTATCAGCGCTGGCTTCAAGGTTGGCAGATGTTGAGGAGGCGATAGCTAAACTCGCCTCTATTGCGTCGCTCGATACGAAAATGGATTTGATTTTAAAATTCCTGAATATTTCGATTGAAGACACTGCAATAGACGGCAACATTGCTGACCATCCATTCACTGGAGTCTGTCACTCGGTCATAAAGTCGCACATCCAGGTAGCATTGCTGGCTGTCCTCATAAGCCGATCAAACTGAAGAAAAATAGGGTGCGGAAATACCAAAAGCTCTCTGTTAAACCCAGAGAATTAGTTGCCACGGCGTCGAACAAGATGCCGTCTTTGACAATCGTAACGTCGTCTGACGATTGTACACAGATCTTCCCGAAGATGCTGACCGTCTCGGCCGCCAGTGAACCTGCCCGTTCTGACGAAGTGCTGGTAACTGCTCAATGCGATACAAAGTCAACGGACCCTGCTCCAGTGAACCAAAAGAAGAAGCGGACTGGATCTGCTCTTAAAACTTCGAAGGGGCTTGAATACCCAGGAACTAGTATGACGCCGGCAATAGAGCGGAAAACCTACGCTACCGTTTCTTCGGCGTCGTTTGTGAAGACAGGGACAGTCCCACCGCCAGTGGTGAAAACAACTGGTATAGGTGTCGACTCCAAGGCACGTGGGGTAAACACGCCGCGTCGTGCGGACTCTTTCACGGATAGTAGCGTTATATTCCGCAACGTTACTGAATCTGCGGCCGCTCTCTCAAGGGTACGCATCTTTAATGACACCAAGTGGCTGAAACTGTGTGTCAGCAAGCTGCTTCCACCTGGCTTCCCTGGTGTCACTGCCAGAAAGCTGACCAGATTGGGGAACGTCCCTAACGTTACGCCAACTCCACGACCCTGACTATTTCGCGTAGTCCTTTCTACCCCGGAGGAAAGCAAATCATTACTGCGGTTTGCGTTCAAAATTAAGGGTAGTGATGTCAGCGTTCAGCCGGACCTACCACTGGCAAATAAATTGAATTTAAAGGAGGCTATCAAAGACCTCAAAACTAGGGGGCGGCTGGTGAGCAAGACCTCCGACTGGCGGGTTTTCAGGTGGTGAGCCGGAAGTTTATCCGACAGCTATATTCATTAGCTAATAACGATGATGGCAGCTGAACAACATGTAGCATTAATTTAGAACGTTTGTGTTAGTTGGGATAGCGTATAACACTTATTGTTTTGTAGTTATTTTGATTAACCTTTGTAGGACACATATTATTATATAATAAATATCAGCGGCAATGCATAAAACGAAATATGCCATAAAAAATATGTTACGTGCAGCTATCGTAAGTGCATCAGAGCAACATTTCTGTCTTATTTAGATAGCTTTATCCTTCTTCATTGTTGTGCTCTAGCATGAAACAGAAAGCTTAGCAAGTACGCCTAGGTGAAATTTACCGACATTTGGGGAATATTCGCGTTCCTCATTCGTGTGGCCCGTACCATCATAAAGCATGAAGCAAAGGTTAACCAGAAACGAATAAAGCCGCTTTACGATCCTTCACCACAACAAGTATTGGTTAACACACTGTTGTTTTTAGCCTAGTGCACTGAGAGCAAAGGAGACGCGATTTGGCAAACGCTAGCAAGGCTTGCATAGAATGCAATATATCCCTCGTACCTGCCACAGCAAACGTTTTTTAAAGAAGCAACCCATTTACCGAAATGACATCTAGGCTCAGTAACTCACTATCATTACATACTGTGAATTGCCTTAAGTACTTGGCCACGAGAGTACAGGCACACTAAGCAGAAATTGCTCCCATATAGCAGGTTTTAAGTGGTGACCTCGCTAACCTTATTTTTTGTGGGAAAATAAGTCAACACGACATCGAACATTTCGCAAGTATGTATCTAGCGATAAAATGTAATGAGAAAAATGCTTATTTTAATGGCGTCACAGGTAGGTGTAGCGCTGCTCAGAAAGACAAATTTGTTCATTCGTCCAATCCGTCTGCATTCAAGTGCGAGCCCAGGAACAATTAAGTGCCTATACTGTAATGTTAAGTTGCATTTCGAGGTAGCGAAGGCCAACGGTGCTTAAATGCTTAAATCACAAGGCGCTTCCGAACAAATAGTACGCCGTGAGTGTTTTCATCAGACAAGTTGATATGATCGATATGATCTATTCCGGTCGCACGCATACCTAGCTGATGTTTACATTCAGAGGGCTGCAAGTTATTTAGAACTCTAAGTTCAATTAAGAGTTGAAGAATAGCAGATACCTAGAGCACTATGCTAATACATTGCTACTGGTGATAAGGGGCAAAATATCACAATGAAAGTCTACAAAATGCGTAGTTTAGAATAGATGTTTTGTTGTCTACCCCACATTATCAGATCTTTCAAGAAAGAACATATTTAGTATATTATTGATTCGCGTATATTTCATCAGCCTATTATGAAATGAGATAGAAAGGAAACCTGCGATTTCCAATCCCTGCGCGTATGAAATGTAATTCTGGAAGAAGTCATTATGAACACTAGCTTTACGAAGAGAGCTATTCGGTGAAAAACAATTTCCACTAATTTAACCAGAAATCTCAGTAATGAAGCAAATATTGGTGCACAGGACTAATCAGCAGTAGTATAGATCAGTACCGATTGTTGGGCAACTATCATTTCCAAAGTCATTGTGCATTAGAAGCCAATTGCAAGGTAACTCAAAATTATAAGCTACCATGGTGAATAAATCCATTGTATCGGCAACTCCTAGGTGTTATAGTGCAATATTTGTGTGGAGCTTATGATGGTTGGAGTACAATACCAATGAACAGTAACGCGAAGTGCCCAGCCTAGGACACTCAATACACGGAAGGAGTGTTTGGACCTGTGCGATTGAGTCCGTGTAATAAGCCAGCTTACTTTTTGACTTGATTAAGCATGTCACATTTTTCCTCTATCGATCGACGATGCATAAGCGCATAATATTCCTTTTCCTTATGAAGCCTCTTGTAATTTTCTTCTTGCTTTCTAAAGTGTAAAGACGTTTAGGTATGTACGTATGAGTACCCAGCTTACTTGACGGTGTCGTTTAGCAAACAAATTTCCTGCTTCGACCTAGAGAGACTTTTCTTTGTTTCACTAAGTTCAACGTAAACGCTGGGGACTTGCCCAGCCTCCGTTAACTCAGTAGAACCTTTGTGCATTTGTCGAAAACTTTAGGAGTAAGAAAAATTGAGGAAATTAAATATTTACCGTTCTACCTGAAAAGCATTTAATGTGTCAATGAAATTATTTTCCAAAAGATAATTCCTAATATACTCGTCGGCAGTCGGCAATAGAAAATCTGTTTGTGCTGTATTTTGCATTCGTCTAAATCCATCTTGTGCCTAATATTCATATCAGCTTTACGGACATATATACCTTTTCTACGCCTTCAATCCTGCTTTGTTCGTTAGTGATATCCTCCACAGTTTCATCTGTAGGAATAGTACCGAGTTCAGCTGGCTGGACACTCTCACACGAGAATGAAGACTCTTCGTCCACTGGTATATCCACTACTGTATAAGAATCTTAGTGAAAGAACTAAGGTTCACACTCTGAAAATAGTATTTCCAGTCATCCATTATCGAGATAATTGGGGACAAGTTGATGAATGAACAGGAACTTGGCTTGGAGATTACAATATATTAGGCGCCCCTATATTGCCATAACGACAGGCAGCCTAACTGACCTTGAACTAGGTTAGGTCAGTTCAAATTCCAAGGACTACAGAGAAGCCCGCCTAACGAACGCTCTGTTCTTTATACCGGTGAACGGGGCAGTTTGATTGCACTACGAGAAAATTGTGTTGCCTTAGGACGTTCCGTGGTACAACTGGTACTTTCCACTCTATCAGAACCCATCCTGATGGCGCACGACCCAGAGACGGTAGTGCGTGACTTCCTTGAGGTAGTACTTAGCAAAGTGCGTAGCCTAAGGAACAAGGTGCATGAGTTGGGTCTACTTGTAGACGAATCTCCTCCCGACATACTTCTTTCACTG